TTAGAGGATACGAATGGATGTCCTTTCTTTCTCAACAGAAGTCATTTTGTATCCTTTTATCCCATTTATTTCACAGAACAAGGCAAGGGAAATATCTAACTCATAGGAACAGAAGAGAATCTTAAGACGTGCTGCGTGTAAAAGAAAGTTGAATTGCCATCCATGTTTAACGACCTACACTTGTTTTCTGATTATGATTTAATTGTAGAATAAATTTCATTAAATTTCTTCATCTGCAGATGATTTGTAAAAGAAATACTAGATGCAAGTCTGATATTTATCCTGTGTCTGTTAGCAAACTTAAAGATGAATATGTTAAAGCCACTTTAAAAATAATGAGGACTTAATAACAAGTGCTCTGGTGACATTTGTTTCTAGGTCAATTCTCCTTACATTTAGTGAAACACCTAACTTGAACCCTTGACCTAAACCAAATCCTAACCATAAACAATGAATTAACCAAACTCACAACCAAAGCTACAATTTACGAAATGGGGCATAATTCACGAGAGCAAATTTCGCATTGGCAGAATAAATGAGGAAAGGGAAAAGAAAAAGAAACGGAGAAATGGAGGGAAAGTGACATTAGAACACGGTCATACAGATTCGCTCGTTACATTCCATAGAAACCATTTTCGCAATATGCGACACGTCATTGTTCGAGCAAGGCTATTTATATAACCTATTGCTGATTTTTTTCTCGAAAGTCTTTGTGATCGTGTTTAAGTGAGGTAATAGTGAAATAGTATTTGGTGAGTATGTTATGATATGAAAAGAAGTGACATGGAATATTAAGAGAGCGAAGACATCGGATAGCGTGAGTGAGAATGTGGCGTGTGTTTGGGCAGACGTGTATGCGTGTGGGTGTGCGTTCGTGTGTTGGTGTGCGCGCGCGTGCGAATTTGGGTGCGTGTGTATGCATATATTTGTGTCGCTGAAACCTGTTCTTGACACTGTGCTGCATAGCACTGTGCTACTTCAACATAAAGTTGATAGTAGTAGTATTAGTAGAAGTAGTAGTAGTTTAGTATCACCACCACCACCACCACCTCCACCACCACCACCACCACCACCACCACCGCCACCACCACCACCACCTCCACCACCACCACCACCACCACCACCACCATCACCACCACCACTACCACCACCTCCACCACCGCCACCACCACCACCACCACCACCACCAACACCACCACCACCATCATCATCATCATCATACCTCTTTGTAAAAAAGGTTACCTTATAAAGATCATGACAACGCCTTTCACTTCAGATTGGTACTAATTATTCAGTGAGCAGGTGAATGAACGATAGAATTATTGTTTTAATGCCATAGAAACATGCGCAGATGACTGAAATTACATTGGTTTTGTATTGGTTTACTTTGTTAATGTCTTGCATGTTCTTAAAAGTATGTGGAAAGTTACATGATAATAATATTCCATTGAATGATGGGTTTCTTATTGATGGCAATGACCTTTAAACGTGCTAGCAAACTGACAAACTGACGAAGGGAGACTGTTAATATTTTCCCACCAAACCAAACTCTGTTGGTTGTATTGTCCAACCTATTATCAAATATTTGCACAATATTTGTAATATATTGCAGTTATTGCATGTTCGTTTGGTGAATAGGGATTTTCCCCTCCTCCCCCAACCAGCATTGTGTAACAAGGAGTTATGGTATGTTAGGCGTATACTGAAATCACAATATCTATATGGTTGTTGGGGGGGGGGGGGGGGGGGGGTTCTCCCTCCTCTCACATTTGACCAATTATTATAACCAATATCCGACCAATCGTCATCTTTTACGCGCCGTGTTAGAGTGACATGTTTAAAAGTGAAGGTTTAACGACTTGCTGCATGCCGGACTTTCCTTCATGTGCTTTAGTGATATTAGGTAAGAACAGGAATCCCTGGTAAGAACGCAATTGAAAAGACACCTCGTGTACAATAGTTTATTTGTAAAGCGCTTAGAGACATTTGTGGGAAGCGCTATATACAAATTAAATATTATTATTATTATTACAATGGGCATGACCATTAATTTCAAATTCCTGCACATGTTAACCCAAGTCTTCATAAACTCCACCTGTGACCCAATTTGGCACTACTTTGAAACTTATCTCAACATTAACGACCCCCTTCATTAAAAAAATAAAACTAGTTCAACACTGCATCATTGACAATATCAAATCTTCTTTGAAACATTCAGAACAACGTAAACGTATTAAAAAAAAAACAGGGCAACAGGCGAGTTGGATAGCCCATTTTCAGCTGTGCTTGCATAGTACACCGGGATCTTGAGAACCAGACAATCGTATTGGACAAGCTGCGTGCTTGTTTTAACATATATAGAGCACGTTCCTCTTATTGTACTCTCCTTTGCGTCTGTGAATGTATAATGTGAATAAAATGTTATTTTCAATAGTGTTCCTATTTCTGTGTTGTGCTTATCCATCAGAGCGCACAGGGGCATTGCTGATCGACCCCACCTGGATATGAAAAGTATCGAACGTTATTCAGCGTTTTTAAGTCAAGTTCACATGCGGAAGTTTGGATGTTATTTATGACTGCTCCTCTTCAACAAACCAAAAAAGCTGCCAGTTAGGTAGGGAAGCACGAATTCTCGCATAATTTCGAGTCGCATAATTAGTCGTCTTCCGTTGAAGGAAAAATGACCTCCAAAACTATGCTTGCTTTTATGTGGTTTGCTACGCTGGTAATGATGAAAGCAAACGGGTTAAACTTGAGGTCTTCGGTTGTCCTGGACGATGGAGGATACGCCAATGTCGCCGTTGCTATTGACGAGTCGATACAAGAAAATATGGATTTACTCACATCTATACAGGTAAGTGTATTTAATTGTTCTTTGGGTAAACTGGCTCTACCTGTGTTTAGGCTCTAACTGCTCCAACGATTCTTTATATATTTTTTTCCTCTCCTGAAACTTCATGAAATTGTTTCCCTGATTTTGCGATTCTGCTAAGGCAAGCATTTTATGGTTTACATCCCTCTAGATCTCATACCTCCCTATTTGTCAGTGCGCTGCCAGGTTTTCAAACATGTATAACAAATAATAGTTAAAACAAATACGTATACCAATTTAATTCAAGTTTTCGTGCCTTCAACTAACACCAGAGGAGTGTTATGAAAAATGGGAAATTACATTTCCAGTGTTTATTTTGTATAATTTCATACTGCTCTGATGTATTGTAGTTAAAGGCAAAAGCTTTGATTCCAAGGCCAATTCTTGAAATCTCAAGACCAAAGTTAAAGCTAAGGTGTAGATAAAGAAAGTTTTTACAGGAAATGAGTCCTAAAATGAATACCGTGTGATTCAAAAAAAAAAAGTTTACACCTAGAAATTTGCTAATTATCTTAAAAATCATCTATTAACAGTAAATTATTACACATATTTTAAAAGAGTTTTTTATAATAATAATGATATTGGATTCTTATATAGCGCAAATCATTTGGTATAAGTTTGTATAGTACTAGGTTCACACACACACAAGGAAGAAATACAGAGGTTCACAAAGAGAAAATGCACATTGCTGTTCTCATTTAGTTAAACAGGTTTCGTTTTCGTATCACTAAAACCCATGTCATCAAGTTTTCGATAGCATTTCCTAAAAACTCTATTACCATGTTTCTTTTCAAATAAAATTACCAATCCCGTAAACAATAATTATCAAGAGTAGTATACACAACTGAAGAGTTCTCCTATATAGCAGTAAATATTACAATACGTTAAACTAAAACATTATTTGAAACTTTGGAAATAAATCAATTCCATTTTTTTGGTCCAATGGAATTTTTTCATTAAAATTAACAGAACATAATGTAATTTCTAATCACTTTTCTGCCTTTCACTCTCGCAAACGTTCATTCATTGCATCATTGTAGACTTCAAGCTTTAGAAAATACACGAAGTACATTTTAACAATTTATTTGTATGAGTACTCGAAGCAGCCGCTTGCTAAAATACTGATGGAAAATAGCGCGTATAATTATTTAAGTGTACTTGTATAGAAACAATAATGAAGACACAAAAAAGTGATTGTCAGCTTCTTTGAAACGGGGAGGGAAAGCAAACTGACTGGGAATACACCATCCACCACTTTAGGGAGGGACCTCTTCGACTTCTTCTTCATATTATTAAATAGAATTCTAATTCTAATTCGTTTGTATTTGTATAATTTAGGAAATCTTTTACATAAAACTTGAAAGGAGAGCATCTTCAAAGCAGCCAATTACAGAAAATGACATGTTTCGAAAGATAGAAAATCTGTCACTATCATTTATTTTATCATTTTTATGATATCACGAGGCACATCATTTTATTCGAACAATGTTGATTACATTTATAATTGTTATCTCTCTTAGGAAGTATTGAAATATAGTTAAAACTATAGTCCTTCATTATTTCACATTTGTAGACAAGATAAAGTTGTTTTAAATTAAAATACTACGAGAATAAAACTGCTAAGGGGGGGGGGGGATTGGTAATATCCTGCTTATAATGATGTCCTTATGATTTCTGCACAACTCTTGCGTTCGAAATCAGAATAGGAATAAATGTTAAAACGGCGCGCTCAGTATAAATTCGTACAATACTTTCAAGTTCGAAATCAATCACTATAACAATTCTTGATATTAAAAAATGATTTTATGTCGTAAAGCAATGGTGATTCTTGATATCAAGAATTCATTTCTTGATATCAAGAATTAGGAATAAATGTTAAAACAGCTTGCCATACAGCCGATTCGTCTTTCGGCCACATTTGATACAGTCACGATAGTGGTCAATATCATGCGAGCAGATCAGTTATGCCACGGAGAATCTCAATTCAAATCATGAACAAACATTGTGCTAAAGCTGTACATAATTATACAGGTCTTAATATTTTGGAACAAATTCAAAAAAATCATTAGGATCATACTATTAAACGTATATTTCTGTGTGTATGTATAATTTGTTATATATTTCTTGACAGGACATGTTCAGAGAAGGATCCACGTTTCTCTACCAGGCTACTCGACAGCGAGTCTTCTTTAAAAATGTCACCATTCTCATACCATCCCACTGGACAACGCAACCGGAATATGGTTCTCCGGGTCGACTAACCTTTGACACGGCTGACGTCATCATTGCACAACCCAATCCACTTTGGGCGCCTGAGCCATACACTCAGCAGATCCAAGGGTGCGGACAACCTGGTAGTTTCATTCATTTCACAGAGGACTTCATTACTGATGATGATGATGTGACAGACACTTATGGAGAATTAGGTATTTTCTTTTTAATTTTCTATCTTTATATATTTTTTCTTTCCTTTCATTTTTTGTGCATTTTTTTAATGATGTAGATATTCATTATACCGTGTGAGTCAAGAAAAAGTTTACACCTAGAAAATTGCTAATTATGTTTAAAATCATCTATGAACGGTAAATTATTATACATCTTATGAAAGAGTGTTTTATCCCAAATCATTTGGTACCATTTTTGTGTGGTATGCAAACAATGTCGCAAACAATGTCTCCTGTTCATCCAAGCGTGAACATATACCACACAAATATGATACCAAACGATTTTGGATAAAACACTCTTTCATAAGACATATAACAGTTTAATGTTTATCGATGATTTTTTTTAATAATTAGCAATTTTCTAGGTGTTAACTTTTTTGACTCACACTGTAGTTGCTGTTACGAAACTCCTCCTAATGCTTATACAAGGCTGATCAAGGCTAATCTCATCAACAAAATCATTTCGGAGTTTACTATCCGAATAATTATTTGGGTGTTAACCCCATCATTTATCTGAGAATGAAGAAGTATTAGGATTTTCCAATGGATATATTTTAGATTCAAATATCAAAATGATCCGGCCGGACGTTATGATGCCGCGAGCCATGGCCACTGATGTTTCTTCTTCTTCAAAGCTCATGGTCTAGACTCGGTAGGAGATCAATGATCTGATTTGTCTTACACCATCTAAATGCTCCTCAATAGCAATACCATTAAGCCAAACCCTGATCAGACTCTGTAAATCTTAAGCCAATTCTTTTTAATCCCCCCAAAAGAAGATATATATATTTTACTAAAGGGATGAAACGGTAGGCCACAAATGCATGATAGGGTCATGATTTACAAGCCCTCGTCCTTAAAGATGAGCTTGAGTTCTGGTAATGATAGAAAATGAGTTCTCACAGAATCCAAAAGAACTTACACTGAATATTCAAGATTATAAATAAATTACATGTGCCAACCGATTTTGGTAGAAAACGTAAAGGGGCTGAGTAATGAGCATAGAAAGAAATGGAAATCAAGGTAAGTAGGCCCGACACCATGTGAGTAACACAGGTCCCTATGTGCAAATGAGAGTTGTGTTTTTGTTTTTTGTTATTGAAGATGATTTCCAGCAAGTGTTCGTGAGGTTTTATTTTACGGGTTCAAGCAATCAATCTACAGCAGGTCTGTGCAAGATAAACAAATTCCAGAATAAAGTATAGCCATGTTCTCTAAACATACGATGCCCATATCAGAGCTCAAGAATCGCTTGAACAAAGCAATAATTTTTCTCTCAATTCTACGGTGCATAGGTACATTGGGAATAATTATCACAAATATCATGCGAAATGTTAACAATTGGACAAGTATCTCAGTCAAAGTTTGTTCATTATGATCATAGTTTAAAGTAGTTCAGGGGAGATAAACACGTTTCAAAGTGGGATTGTTCAAGAAGGCAATAATTTTCCCGGTTAGGGAACTGTCGAGAATCTTGGTCACGTTTTCTATTCATACTCATTTTCAGAATAGCATGCAACACAGAAAATATTCTTACAATGACAATCTTTAGGTGGAATGGTTTTCCGAATCAAAAGAAAAGGAGAGAGAGAGAAAAAAAAAAGCATAATTTTCAGAGCTTATCAACCTTACAATGGCATTAATCGCTTGAGTAGGGGAGAAGCAATGTTTTGTTGCGCTACACGATTACGGAACTTAGTTCTCGAATTGACTTCATAGCTGTTTTGTAGAATACCCAAGTGAATTACAACTACCTGTGAAAGAGAGTACCTAAGAAAACCTCACCCGAAGAAATAACTTAAGTTATTCTGAGAGATTTTTTAATTCTTGCCCATTAATCTATAAGATTCCCCACCAAAGTGTACGAGAGAGGTATGAAGCAAAAATAATGTGCAGTTGCTCATCATGACAACGGCATCGCCATTTTCTTGATAACGTGACGTACTATTCGAAGTCGTGTATCAAGTAAATGTATTCGAATTCATGAATGCTTCCTTCGCAGATGTGTGTTGTGATGAAGCATTTCATTTACCTGCTCTTATCCTTTGTACTGCAATTACCAGAACTCAAATTGCATACATAAGCTAGTTCTCTTCTTGGGTGATGTTGGAATAGACCGGTTTACTAACATATTCAAATTTTATGCATACTTTTTAAACAAAATATGTTCTTGACTACCTTGAAAACTTACCCGACATATCAACAAGTAATTATGCAGACTGACTCTCCAAGTACTGTAGTTCATTAATTAAAAGGTTAATGTATAAATCGTCACTTTTGGTCTCCAGGGAAGAAACACCAATTAATTTGAATATGTTAGAAAAGTTGTCAATTGCCTGATCACGTGTCTTTTCACCAATCTCCTGCAAAAATATATGCCAATGTTAAATATTTAATGTAATTGAACTCGCTCGTGATTTCCATTTGTTAACTTTATGTAATGACATACCTTGTTTGTCGATAACTTTGTACAGGTCGAATCCTAGTACATGAATGGGGTCATTATCGTTGGGGGTTATTCAACGAGTATCCTGATGATGTAGGTGATGCTGATCACGTGACACATTTCTACCAATCAATGGAAGGTAATCAAAGCTGGAAGCCAGTTATGTAAGTAATTTCCTATCACAGTGTGTTAAAAAATGACATTTTTTTTCTTATTTAATGAGAAGCGGGCTAACAGTGACCTTTATATGCTTCGTACGTTAAGAAGTTTTGGTGTAATCATTTTTTTTTTCGAACATAAATTATACTTCTTCAATTTGGTCAATCACTTGAATGATTGTTTAAACTCAAACATTTGATATGGTGAATATTTGTACATTAAAGTAATTATTTCCTTTTTTTAATTTAAGATAAATATGTACTGTTCTAAATTATGACCATTTTTTTTTCTTCTACTACCCTTGTCGTACACTGGGCTACAAGTATTCATTTTTCTTCCAATTTTCCATTTTCTCTTACCATTATTTTGCAAGTTTCAAGTGTGATCTCTGTATTTATTTGACTCAAATTTGAAATTTGGATGTGCTTTGGTAATATCTTTAAATATTTGCTATATGTAAATCATGTGCAATTCAGTATTATTGCCGCTGATTTTAATTCTATTAAATAAACTTTCAATCTATCAATGTACATTTCTGTTTGTCATTACATCACGATAAAAAGACCATCCAATGGAGACTGTGTTTACTGCCCAGCTTGATTTACAGCCCTTTAAAGTAGTCTTTGAAAAATAATTTTTCTATATTCAATTGGAATATGAAATATGTTTGAATTTACATGTCTTTCAAAATTCATTAGAAATAATACAATGTATCAAAGTTCAAGATTCAATTTTGATTGTCCGTATGAAACAGAAAACTGTTTTCCACTGTTGTTACATACGATGAAAACAGAGACAAAATGATATTGTATGCGGAAGCCAGAAGGTCGATGGGTTATTGTTATGAAAAGACTGCGTGAACACCCTTCCGACTTTCAGTAGACTTCAATACCATTCATGTTCTTATTTGCAGTTGCTCTCAGGAATACCAATGGTTTCCAAAATTTACTGTTCAAGGGGACCCGCCACTTTTTAAAGAGTGCGTTGGGAATCTAACGGACGGATACCAAGCGGGATGCCAAGTCCTCATCCAAGGAGCGGGTCAAGCAAGTGGATCTATTATGCACGGTCCACTAACATATTCAAACGTAAGAATCATTTTTTACTAAGATTCAAACCCGATGCTTTGTATTGGTTTTCGTCAAAAAATCGGGTTTAAAAAAGTCTAGTTGTCCGTTTACAAAACTTGATTTGGGATACAGGGTCCGTTAAAGTGGGCGGTAAAATACAGACCCATGTGTGAGTTTAGGGATGTTTTCTCATATATACATGGCCTATCCCAGGTTGTTTCTGAAAACAACAGGTGTTATGATGGTACTCAGTTTCATTTTAGTTAGTTACGTCAGCCCGTTATTTTTATCTCGCGTTCTCTCTTCCTTTACCTTCAGATTATATTGTCTGATTTCGGCTTTCTTTTCTTTCTTACTCAAATGAGTGCAAGATGGACATTTTAGGATGCCCGTATTCGTTTTTATTGTTAAATATCTGTGACGATGATGATGATGATGATGATGATGATGATGATGATGATGATGAGGATAATAATGATGGTTGTGGTACTAATGATTAATGGTTTCAGAACTAGCTACGACACTCTTGGAGATGATGATGGCATTAAGAATGTGCGTACTGATTATAATATTAAATACTGATGGTGCTTGTATATGTGATGATCAACGCATTTTATCACATTTTCTTACGTACAAATTTACTGGAACACAAATATATTAGAAACAAAAAACACAAGAAATCTCCTCCTATAAGCTCGAAAAACGAAACCAAACGATAACAAAAGACAATTGCGATATTTCAAGAGTGCAGTTAAGGGAGGGGGGGGGGCACTTTTCTTTTTTGTGTATCACTTGGGTTTAACAAAGGAGGCACGGGCCGGTTATACACCCTCCCTAAATCGATAGGTGCCACGTACTCATATTGCGTGCTGAAGCCTCTTTTCTCGTTTTCCATGTCCTCTCCTACTTAATTTTGTTCCTCCCTGCTAACTACTCACAAATGTGAATGCTTTTCCCTGATAATAATAATAATGAACGTTATTTGTATAGCGCATATCACTAACACGAAGAAAGTCCCTGTGCGCTTAGAAAAGAAGGAAAAGGGCGGAATAATAATAATAATAATAATAATAATAATAATATGTCTTGTTTACGCAGGGTAGCCTCATCAGTATTCATACTGTTCTCCCCGAGGGCCCTGCAATCATATTATTACCCCGGTCATCGGATTCAGGCTTACCCGCAGACAATGTATGCACATTCTCCACTCCCTGAGGAGCATTCCAGCCAGTGCATCATTTTTACAAGCGCACACTTGCTAATCTAAGCACATTAGCTTTCGCATCCTACCGGGTACCCATTTAACAACCAGGGTGGAGAGTGGCAAATGTAGATCAATGTCTTGCCAAAGGACATTAGTGCCGCGGTGGGACTTGAACCGCGGACCTTGTGATCCACAGTCCGGTGACATATCCACTCGTCCACGACACCTCTACGAATAGACATGAACATTTATGCCTGATACATGAAAATAATTAATTACAAACAACAATAATGATACACAATTCCTACATAGCTTACATGTAATAGATTGTAAATTCAGGTACCGGTAATACAATAAACATGAAAAAATATGAAAATTAAATGAAAATGAAATTAATTTCTGTTCTGATATCTTTCGGCATTCTATTTAGATCGTTAATTTTTGCGACGATGATTCTGATGATCCTGGCAACCTTCATAACCGAGAAGCGCCTAATAAACACAATCGACTTTGTAACTCAAGAAGTGCATGGGAAGTCATGAGGGAACATGACGATTTCAAAGGTTTGTCAGAATATTTTATACAATTTTTTGTTCTTTTTCACAGGACAAATTTTGGTCTCTTCATTAATATTGCAAGTTCTGTTTTGTCTTTGTTTGTTTGTTTGCTCACGTTTTTGTTTACTTTATTTGAATTTTCATGAACTGATTATGTGACTAATTTCAATAATGCTTGTAGAAATCAATTACGTAGGAAAGTTGTTAATTTTAGGTGAACTATTTATATATAATTATTGTATTGGCAAGGAATACAGCTGGCAGGCATTACGTCTAATTTTCAGCAGTTTTCGCGCGCTTTGTTTCTTTAGCTTCCGTTTATATTGTCCGTTTTTGCTTCTAATTCAAGGTATACATTGTTGTTAACCACCTTGGTTGAACCTTTAGGCTAAGGTTAACAACGAGGCATTGCCCTTGTATGGTAAAAGACATATTTGCCAAACTACATCCAAATGAAACGGTTTTGATTAATATATTAGAACGAATGAATTTTTATCTCCATATTTTCTTTCTTAAAAATATAAAACTATGAAATTCCAAAATTCTCCACGTTTTTCTTCTTCTGGAAATCATAGTCTTTCTCATTACTACTGCGATTATTCTGTTGTTATAAGACATCCCAAACAAAAGCCCTTCCCCATTAACAGTGGTCTTATACAATTACTACTGCAGACAATTCTCCCGCATCGAACCTGAATGTTGCCCAGATTAAGCCCAGTTTTGACTTGGTACAAGCAGGCACCGGAGATGAGTGCCGAGTTGTCCTTGTTTTGGACACTTCAGGAAGTATGAGGGTATGTATGAATTCATAGCATTAAACAAAGACTAGAATCTTCAACACTACATTTAATCTTGTACCGATAATTTTTCAATCGATATCGGGAGCAGGAAAATGGGGATTTGGTTACGTTTAGGATTTTCGGTTATTTAGGTTTAGAATTAGGAATAAAATTCAATTCGATGAGCAACTCGATTGCTCTCATCGATCGCGTAACTTGTAATTAAAATATTCACTCGCCATCCTACGATAAAAAACATTGGTGTGCGGCACTGGTTTTTCTGGATGTATGCCTAAATCGATGGTTAATGAAGCAAGTGTATTGATAGGGGAGGAGTGAAAAGGGGTCATATACAAAAAATAACGCCCACCCCCTCGCTGTTTTAAAATTCTACATGTGCCCCCTGCAAGCTATGTCACTCTACCACTGTGTACCACCGGTTTTCTACCGCTGAGATTGTGTGTTTTTGTGTGGTTGTGTGTGTGGGTGTTTCCCTTACCTCTCTTATTCATGTTATTAGCATTATTAGTATTATTAGTATTATCATTATCATTATTATCTGGTTTGTTGTCTTTGTGGTTGTTGCTCATAGCTGTATGTGATATTTTATCATTCATTTTGATGGATGCTTAATACACAGACATCCAATCGAATCGACAAAGTGAACAGTGCCGCCACTGCCTTCGTCAACCTCGTGGATGACGGGATATGGATTGGTATAGTCACTTTCACCGGCTCCCCGACCACAGAACATGCATTGACACAGATCAATACTCAGGCTGATAGAGACTCACTGCGTGATATTTTTCAACTTATTGCCGATGGAGGGACCTGCATCGGGTGTGGACTTGAACGAGGTTTAGAAGTAAGATTCTCCAAAATAAATTACAGCTTACTCCAAAATTTTGAAATGAAGTGGCATCCTTTTTAATAATTTTGAAAAATAATACGTAGGTCACATTGAAGTTAAGTTAACATTAATTTTGCATGACTAAAAAATAATCGCTTATTTTGATTAAACCTACTTTAAGATTACTTTCTATTCCCTTTTAATGACTTCTTATATACATTCATCGGTATAAATATTTGATTAAATTTTCCGCAGTGGTGATCTCTAATACATCAATGCACAGCACATGTATAGAAGTGCAGAAGTTGTTATCCGATGTATCCGAGACAGAAATATGAAAAGAGAGAGAAAGAGAAGGACCGAGAGAGAGAGAGAGAGAGAGAGAGAGAGAGTGAGAGAAAGAGAGAGAGAGAGAGAGAGAGAGAGAGAGAGCTTTCTTACAATATCCTTTATACAAATCAAAAGTGGTGTCGTAGTCGTGTGGCTTCTAGACTTTTGATCCCCGACACGGCACGTAATGTCCTTAAAGGTCGGGTGACATCAAAATATAAGTTGAATCCTATTGATTTGCATGGCTGCATGCAACTTATATTTTGTTATTCGATGATGGACTGGGCAGGATAGTAGGATACAAAATCATAATAGCCACTGAATTTGTGTATCGGCAAACCTGTATCCGATCTGTGAAGCGCTTACAAACAAATAAGATGTATCTATTATCATTATTGTTATAACAATTATTATTATCATTATCATTACTACAAATAATACAAGTACTACTACTGTTTATTGTTATACAGTAGGCTTGCGGATGTACCATGTGAAAGAGAGGGTGGATTGAGGAGTCCTGGAAAAGGACTCTCGGCAATCTTTCTTGAGGGTGTGTAGTCCTGAAAAGGACTTTTGGTGTAGTCTTATCTATTGTTATTGATTTAAATTTTTATTCATTTATTCATTTATATATTTTCATTATTGCCTGAAGGTTTTAATGGATCACCCTTCTGGAAGTGCCGATGGTGGAATAATCGTGCTGATGACGGATGGGCAGGATAGTGGGATACAAAATCATATCATCCGTCAAACGTTACAAGATATGGGTGTGAGGGTCAATACAATGGCTATTGGAGAGGATACATATGGTGAACTCAATCTGATTGCACAGGAAACAGGTAAAATAAGAATTACAATGATAACCGATAGAAATGTTAGACTAATGTACCTAAGGTTCTAGGACACCTATCCCCTGTACATCCACCCCCAGATAACCACCCACAGTCAACTTCCCCCTTCGACAACTACCCCCTAGGACAACTATCCCCTGTACATCCACCTCCAGATAACCACCCCCAGTCAACTTCCCCCTTCGACAACTACCCCCTAGGACAACTACCACCTAGGGCAACAACCGACCGGAAAACTACCCCCAGACAACTACCTCCTGCGACAACCATCCTCTAGGACAACTACCCCCAGAAAACTATCCTAGGGGGTAGTTGTCCGGGGGTAGTTGTCCAAGGGGGTAGTTGTCCGAGAGGTAGTTGTCTTGGGGAGTTGTCCGGGGTAGTTGTCCCGGGGGGTAGTCGTCCTAGAGGATGGTTGCCCTAGGGGGTAGTTGTCATAGGGGGTAGTTGACTTGGGGTGGTTATCCAGGAGTTGGATGTCCAGGGGTAGATGTACGGGTACGGTATCTGAGCCTTAGGGGCATACACCAAATAAACATCGCATTTTTAGCACGCACCTCCATCTGTATCGATTTAAAAAAAAAGAAGATTTTTCCGTATTTCTATTTTGTCCAATAATTTATCAAATCATTCTTTGTCAGTTATTGAATATATATGTTTCATGTACAAGCTTACATTGAACGAAAACAAAGGCGTAGCTCAATCGGAAATCCCCATCGCTGCCCTCAAAGTTTTGAATTGTACATAGCGGTTGACAAGATGTCCACTAGGAATCGAATCGAATCCGATTTCCCGTCAAAGAACGCCACTGTCTTTACCACTAGGTTAAGAGGTGTTGGGGTCCAGTGGATAAGTCTCCGGACTGTAGATCCCACGATACGGGGTTCGAATCCCTGTCGCAGCACTATTGCCCTTTGGCAAGACAATAATCTGCATTTTCCAAACTCAACCCAGGTCAGGTAAATGGCGGGAACTTATTTCTTAAAATGCTCGAGCGCTGTAATGGCAGCCGTGCTAAAGCCTTGGTCACATATAAACCGGGCCCCGTACGATTTTCCCTACCCGGCGGCATGCCGTGGATTTAGAGACCGTACGGGAACCTTCCGATTTTCTTTTCTACGGCATGTGGGGTCACATATTCTGCGGCGCCCGGGAGGTGCCCGGTGAAAATTGGTCGAGTGAAATGCAAGGCGCCCGTAAGGATGCCGGCCGGTACGCTTACGTGCTCCGTCCGATGAGCAGGTGCACCCGTGGCTCCCGGAAGGTGCCCTGCCGGGAACCGGCCGGGGTCCTTAAGGCGCCCGGCCGGGTCCCGTGCGGTGCACTGAACTATGTGTCCTCTGAAATCCGCACCTCAAGGTTCCCGTTAAGATTTTTCATGAGAATTGACCCGCAAAAATCGTGAGGGGCCCGTCCGGACACCGTCCGGAGCCTGCCGGGACCCGTAAGGTGCCCTGCGGGCCCTTCACGGGCTCTCTACGACCTAACGGTCGGATAAAAACGCCGGGAGAATTGGGAGCAGCCGACTCAGCACCACGGCGCCCGTACGGCTTCAAAAACTGTCCCGGCGCCCGTAGGATCTTTACGGTAGCCGGCCGGACACCGGCCGAAAATTCCCAAAATGTCTGTTTTTACTCGCCGTACGGGCCCCGGAGTGTATATGTGAAAGCCCCATAAGGGAGCGCCAGGAATGACAATGTGCCACACATGAACTTTATACAAGATTCTAATATTAGTATTATTATTAGTAATGTTGTAATCAGTATCATTATCCTTATTTATATTATAATCCTTATTTATATTATGATAATTGTTTATAAATATTATTATAATAATTTTGTTAATAAAATATTCATTAGGAACCAGATTCAATCGACCGACGGATTGTAAAAACCTTCAACCTTTCTAATTAGTAATTACACACTTACTTTTATACTTACACACTACAGGACAATTATTATATTTTCCGCTATGTAAATTGCAGGAGGAACGGCTATATTTTATCCCGATAACGGCGATTCAGACATCATTAGTGCTCTTACACAAACAGTAGATATGTGTACAGCAGTAAACAGCCTCCGTGTTCAGGTTTGTCTTAGCACGTTCATCATTTGAAGAGCTTTTATTGTTGAGAATTATATACACTGAAAACATGTATCGTATGTGGGTGATCGGTCACTTGTATAGTTTTTGGGTTTGAGCACGGACAAGACATTATTTTCTACAATTCATTGCTTTTGTCCACTCATATGTTCTTATAGGATTCGAACTAAGGGAGTATTATATGAATGCCAGTAAATTTGCAAATGATTTGAATATTCCTTAGTGGAGTAAAGAAAGAGAGTGCACTGTATGTGCAGAATCGTAATTTAACCAAATGGCCTTATTACTAATATAGTCATTTAAACCTGTACCTTTAGGGCGCCGCAATTTATATTGATTGAAAGATTTCTCTTCTCTTAGTTATTATATCATGCATTAAACATTTATTGGTTTTTGATTGGTTGAGAGCTCGTCACGTGACCAGAAATATTTCAACTAGTTTAGGGTTGCTCTGAAAAAATACTATATGAGAGTACTATTTGAATTGATTTTTTTAAAATAAATTTTAATTAAATGAACACAAAATATTTTAAATCTTTTGGGATAAAGATTGACATTTTTTGTTGTTCTACATTTATCTTTTCCCCCCAAATTTTATTTTTTAAATTATTTTTTATTTTAAAATAAATTTTTGATGCAGGATATAAAACAAATATACCATGCCTTCTATTCGAGGTCTTGTTAAAACTAATGGTGACTCCAAAAGTGCCATTGGAGTCACCTCTTTTAATTTTAACCAGAAGCTCTCAAGACAGTGTATATTTGTATATTATTCATAGGTCGGTTTATGTCAATTAATCGGGCACTTACGAACCAACTTTCGATATCCTCCAAGTTTGTTTTTTTCCAACTAGAAACGCGAATCGAATTTGTGTTCATGAGTATTAACTGTTTTACATAAATAAATAGTTTACTTGTTTTAATGATGTTTCTTGTATAGTTGGTAGGTGAGGGCATTACACTTGATGGCGGAGAAACTCGAAATGGTTGTCTTTACTTTGATTCCTCAATTGGCAATGGGACGCAGTTTATTGTGACGTACACTATGTCTTCATCCGCAACCGTACCAGGTATATTTTGTTGTATTTGCTGTTAGTTTGTTCGATAATAGTAATTTGAAAGAAGGAATAATAAGATCTCGTTAAATATTTTTGCTTTGAGAGAGGGCTCAAATTGCTCGCCGTGTGTTTTGCTATGATCATTGTATATTTCAAAAGAAAACCATGATTAACTATCTTATATACATTTACAGCAAGCAGTAAACCTATCGATATAGCGTGAACTGTATTGTCAAACAGGTTTATATGTTACCTTTAAATGTTATGATAAGAAATCTTTTTATTTGAGCGGTGCGATCAATGAATTTTAAATAGAAAAATTCGATTCCAGTCATATATAATCAGACTCTCAGCATTTTCTAAGTACACCACACGCGCCATAATTATCTCGCATTCACTCAACTTTAACTCTAAACGCAACGAAAATCGTTGGCACATCTGGAAATTACTCGAGCTTGCTTGATCATGCTGATGAATTTTCCTATTGAGGTGGTTCGCTTGAAGATACTAGAGGTGCGTGCATTACGTAAGACGTACTGGTTGTAATACTGAATAACATATTATCCACTGATAATACCCGAATGTTGTGTAAACACCCGAATGGTGTCAAATTTGTCATAAGTACCATCGTTTATGTGTTTTTAAGATAGAATATATTTTGAATTTCATTATAGGTGTCAATGTGGAAATCACACAACCAAATAATGCAACAATAACGAGTGGCAACCAGCAGTACACTGTCGACACAACCAGAAAAGTCGTCACCGTGGCTGTCGACGGCCTAGCCATGGTAATGATGTTTCTAAGTCAGTCTTGTGAAGATCGCTCTAAATGATGAAACAGACTTGCGAAAGTTGAAATGAAATTGAATATGAATTTTAAAGTTGTAATTCACATGGTATTTTCAAATAAACGAATAACTAATGTCGCTGAGATTTGCCTCCAACGCATACTCACCCTTTCACAAATGTCTCAACAATATTGTAGGAAAGGCAGACTATTCAACATAACCATTTTTGCCAATACATTTGATCGAATACTAAGACTAACGAATGTAACTCCAGAAGGGGACAATGTAGCCCCTACCTACATTATTTAGAATAGAAGAAGACGGGCGACTCGCTTTTTTATACTGACTTTCATGAATGTTCTCTTTTTTACTTCGTAGAGTGGCAAATGGTTGTACTCCATAGAGAATGCGGTTACAGGATCTCAGTCTGTGACTTTTTCTGTGTATTCGAGGATCAATATGCTAGAAGAGGAAGAGCCAATCGTCGTCAAATCAACCGTCGGTAATTCAATTATGGATCTATCTTCAAAGCTTGAGCCCCTGGCTGCCTATGCACAAATTAGACAAGGTTCACGACCTGTCGTAAATGCAGTTGTCCGTGCTGTCGTTGAAAAACCTGGTGGTTCTCCTGCAGATATCATAGAGCTTCGAGACGATGGTGCAGGTATGGAAAGAATTACAAATAAGGTGGGGGTTTGTTTGGTGATAAATCACCTGTATCTCCTCGATGCATGAGAATGTTTACAAACTAATGCTCAGAATCTGAATCTGTAAGTTTGGTCAACACAAATCCAGTTACGAAGTAACGTGCGAGGTCTACCCCGCCCCCTGCCCCCCCCCCCCTCTTACCGCGATAAAACGCCAACAGAGGCAAAATCACATTTGTATTTAAGCTCGCTGGCTAATAGGCAGATGATAAAGTCATTCCTTTTGTTAACATATTTCGTATCTTACAATCGCTTTAGTTAGTGTCTGTGATTCCTTCACAATCTACTGACCTAATTGCCTATATTTGATTCTTATAGATATTTTGATCGTATATTTCAAACATTAAACATCAAAACATCAAACTCTTTAATTTGTCCTATTTTTTCAAACCTTCTGTTTCTCTTATTTCTCTGCTTGCATACAAATGAACCTCTTACATAGGTCGGATTGCCCTAACTAAGCCGCTCCAATGAATACTAGATTACTTACTACTCATTTTCCTTTTTCTTTTGTTTTTGACACAGGAGCCGACATAACGGCAAATGATGGCATCTACTCTCGTTTCTTTACAAATATAATTGGGACAGGGTTCTACGGCATTCGTACCACCTATGAGAACGATGGTTCAGCAATTATTTTGACCAGGGCTCGAACAGGGATATCTAGGGTTCAAGCCGCCATTAGAGTGACAGATGATGGGATGATAATTTCTCCTGGAAATATTGGTAGGAAAATATATAATAAACTCAGGGAAAGAAAAAAAATCTTAAAAATGTAAAATATACACAGAGAACGTTTATACTTTTTTTTTTCTTCTTTCAATTCAGTTCATTATAGATCCATTTATAAAGCCTTGTTGGGCATGGACCAGTGGCTGTAAAATGAAGTTCATGCAAAGAAGCTTATTTTAAACCACTTGTCTGATTGCTTGTTTGACCTCATTTTGAGAAGCCCATAATACGTGATATTCTAAATCATGGTATGTGTATTTTTTGTGATTGCATTACAAATATTTTTGTCAAGGTCTTTATGTGGTTTAAAATGTGATTCTTTCATGCAACAAGAACTATAACTTCCTTCACATAACAATTAACGAGCATATCCTTTCAAATGACGAAATGATATGAAGAATACGTTCTGCCAAACCTTTCGCCCCTTTTGAGATCGTGTTCTTTTTTGAGGTTCAATTTTCTCTATTTCATTTGTAATCGCCTGGATATTTTTTCGTTCCTACAAATAGGATAAATAAGGAGAAAATTATATACCCATTAACAGTTTCTAGTATCAAATGGATAACCCAATTTATTACAATCACTTATTAATAGGCAGGGATGGATGTACATACACCTCTCGCTAATTCAAATTCACAATGGCAAATGTGCTCGAGGCAACCAGAATTTAATAACCATTCGTAAAACTCGTTTCAGGCTCATACGAAGTACGGCTTCCTGGAGTCGATTCAAACCAACCCTTGCAAGGGACGCCTGCACCATCTTTTACCAGGAGTTCATCGGCGGGTTCAACTACGATTACAAACCTCCCTGCTGGATTCACTCCAGGCCAGGACCTGTTCCCACCTAACAGAGTCCAAGACCTACGGGTGACAATGACTCATGTGGGGAATCAAACTTTAGTCCTGTCTTGGATAGCTCCAGGTGATGATCTAGACACAGGAACTGGTAAGGTTGATTTTCATCAAAAATAATACACCGAGAAAACTTAAGCTAAAGCTATGTCATCATATTATAAACACTTCTTCTTATTCGTATGACGTGTTACAGCTAAAGTGTCAGTGGAAAGACATGCAAGGGTGTCATCCTTAAATGGAATGCCCCCAATGAGAATTGTTAAATCTTTTTATTTGACAGATTTTTGTTCTTCTCTTTAGGACAATTTTAAATGGATAGTATCCGCCATAGATATAATTATTAACAATAAAGACTTTATCACCATCATTACATCAACAGCTACGTCGTACGACATCAGGATGGGTAACTCCTCCAGGCAACTCCTGGATGATTTCACCAACACAACCCGAGTTAGTTCATCCAGTATCCTAAAGGGCAACTTAACATCACCTAGTCCATCCGGATCATTGGAAACCTTCGTCATTATGGTCCCTGACATGCCCGAGTTGAACTCCTTCTCGTACAGCTTCGCCCTCCGCGCGACAGATGATGACGGAAAGACAAGCCAGGTATCGAATGTTGCCATAGCAACGTTCAGACGTGTTGTACCCACTGCACCGCCTCCTGGTCCATGCATTGGCATAACGTGTCTGAATGGTGGAGAGTTAGAAGACTCCAATTGCACCTGCTTATGCTCAGAGGACTTCCAAGGAAATCTCTGTCAACGTATGTGGACCACTTTTAGACTATATGATGACTTTATTCATGTACATATTGAAATATCTTTAAAGTTGATCGTTGTTTCAACTTTTGTTCCCTCTTAACAATAGTATTGTTCTTCATCATTGTAGTATCGACAACATGCACAATTCATATGTAATTAAGACATAGTATCTAAATGGTATTAACATAATGTAAGCGAATTCAATTCTAATTCATCACTGTAGTTATCTTAGAAGTTCATCTATCTTCATTCCATTTCATGTGACACATTAGAGCCATCTAGAGCTTTAATAAGATATCTATAAGTAAAGTTGTATGTCAGTAGAGACGAGTTGGAAAAATGTGATTGAAAAATTGGATGATTCACTGAATGCATTATTTGATGACACAAATGCTTCGTTAAAACAAAGTTGCAGAAAGCAGGTTTCGAAGTAGGGTAAATCAAACGAGTTTTATGGTTCCTGATCAGTTGATATCATCTTAATAAATAATTACAATTTAAAGTCTTTTTATATGTCTTCTATCTCTACTTAGATAACAAATCCCAGTTGCGAAATGGTGTTCAGATTCACTTACAAGTTAACATCACTCAGGTATTGTAAATCATTTTCCTGTGTTCTTTATACAGGGTAGTCTCTTCAGAACTTAAAAACTGCTTTGCAACATAATAATAATCATAATAATGAGGCGTCGAATCCGCTTAAATCAAATGACCAAGAAGCACTTGTGAACAAACAAAAAAGATCACACAAAAGTATCTGATTGCAAACAAAGGAACAAAAGTAAGATAGGACATTCACAAACGACAGAATATTTAATTATAAACCTAATTGAACAAAAAAGTTTTCAGATTAAAAAAACCCCTCTTCAACTGATCTACTATTACGAATCTCCCTCTCGAGAGAGCATTCCACACCTAAGGCCCTGTATGAGCAAAGGTTCTTTCCCCTATTAGTATTGAGCTTATAGAAGGAACAAGAAATCCGGAGTAAAGTGCTTACCACCCTGGAATACCCCTTCCCCCTGCCCTTGGTCATCTATCACTATCTCAGGGAACGTAAGACGTTCTTATGACGTAAAAGTCGTTATTGTTTCTACATGACTATTGATTTATTTACTAATTCATTTGTCCATTCACTTATTGAGAAATATTATATCATATCATGATAGAACTTTATAAATATTTACATACAATATCCTTTTGAAACGACAAAACAAGAAACACCGCAATTTGTATAGCTTTAAATTTGGATATGCAGAGTGATTCTTATAAAATCCTCCCTCTTATCTTTCTTTGCCTCTATTCGTGTAGTGTGAGCAACTATTGAATCCCCTCATTAGCGCTTCAAGTGATCAACTAAATGTTTATTGTCTGAGCAATTTAGCGACCTGCTGTCCTGGTGGAGGTGTATTTGACAGGTAACATTTATATATTACTTGAAGACAATACTCTTGTCTTTGTCACTCTGAGGTAATATTGAAGGCGAGTCTGTACACAAAATGATTAACATTACACACAAATCTAACAATCATATTCAGAAGAACGATATGATGAAATGGATGACGCTCATGTTTAAGGATGTATTAATATCTTTTTCGTATAATCAAGGAACCAAAAGCTGACCCCATTCTAAATAATGTCTATATGATTTTATAATTTAAGTTTGATTTTAATGTTTTCTTTATCAACATTTTTTAACATACATATTATGCAAGCGCATTCGAGCTACATTCTTAATGTTTTTCCCAACACAGTAAATGCATAGGATATATACATAGGATATATACATAATTCAGTTACAATCTTGATGCGTACTTTATTGACTTATTTTCATTGAAGACCTCAAGGCGAGTACGTGAGAGAAGAGGATGTGATGATAGCAGATGGTTATCCAATACTAGCTGACCAATCGGACGGGTGCTATGTGGTTCTTTATGCCATTCGGCCTAACGAACCAGAGCTTTGCATGGGGAGTGGCTCAAGTAAGCGTCGGAAGAGAAGCATTTTGGAAATACATCGCAAAAGGAGACAATTGCCAGGTAAGAATAAACCAATGATTATTGGTATCTTAGGATGTCGAAGAGAGAGAGAAAAGGTTACTATTCTTCCTTTCTTTTAATGAAACATTTCACTCAATCTTCGTTAAAAAAAAAGAAAATCAATCAAACAACTTACCATTTTTCTATTCCCAGATGTCAATCTCTTGTTTTGTATGAGTTCGACGGATTAAAAAAGTGTCGCTCTTTAATAGAACAGGCCCACTTAAGACCAATTAAATATGTAATTGATTATGTATAGCTATAAAATGATACACTACTTGTCTGTTCGCTAGTGCAACCGAGTATTGTAATGCACCCCTAATGTCCTTTGGCAAGACATTGATCTACATTTGCCACACTCAACCCAGGTGATGTAAATGGGTACCTGGCAGGAATTAATTCCTTGAAATGCTAGAGCGCCGCAGTCGCTGCCTTGCTAAAGCCAGGGTAATAATCGGGGTAGCGCCAGGAGCGTCACAACGTGACGGACATGTGCGCTATATAAGAAGCCACCATTATTATCATTATTATCTGATATGATACATTACGTTAGAGTATAATTATTATTAGGCCATTTGTATTTCTTTATTTCACTAATAAACGAACTGATTGATCTTCCGCAGACCAATTGGTTTACATCCCTCAGAGCCTGCTCCTAGATGCTCTTTCTTCTGGGGAGGTGGCTCTAGAGATGGCTGTTGGTACAGACATCGACAGTATTACACTACCGCGAGTAGAAGGTGATCCTCTGATAGAACCATCTACTGTTCCAGCCTATCTGATCGGTGTTATAGTAGCCATTGTGACGTTTTCTGTTATTGTCATCCTCTGCCTATGCGTGTCTTGCGCGAGAATGTAAGTAGAATCGTTTTTACAGGGCACCCTGTAATGACTTGCATAGCTAGTTGAGAGAGAGAGAGAGAGAGAGAGAGTGAGACAGAAAGAGAGAGAGAGAGAGAGAGAGAGAGAGGGAGAGAGAGAGGGAGAGGGAGAGAGAGAGACATGTATTAATGTCACGGAAGTTTCTCCTGATTGGTCAGTCGCTTCATTGGTCCTCAAATAGTTCTCTCTGTGTCTTTGAAGAAGAAAAAAATTAAAAAAAAAAATTCTCTTTACGGCTTATTGCTATTATCTCCCATTCTTAGGTAACTAGATTGTTATAAATACGATTTTACTAGAATCATGAATTTTATACGGTGATAGTATTACCAAAATGTTCTGTGGTATACCGTTTGTGTTTCAGTGTAGCTGACACGTTATGATGTTTGATGTATACGTATGATGTCCATGGTCAATCTGGGGAGGGAAATATTGGGAGTAAACCCCATGACCACATTCTCTACCTACGCTATGACGATTTAAAATCATCTTATGGACCATGAGCCATAGACTTGTCCTTAAAACTCCTAACTTTATACTGCAATAACTCCATGCTTAATATAAAGCTCAAAAAGTAAATTCAGCCAATGAATTCATGCGGAAATGAAGAAAAAAAGGCAACACTTCTCATTGCACCCCCATCCCCCCACAAAAAGAAAATTGAAAATTGAAATCGATGACGCAGGACGGGCAACTGTCCAAATCTGAAATGGGGGTCTTATCTTGGCAGTGGTGAAGGCGGTCCAGATAATGATCACCTAATCCGATTGGAACATTTGAATCTTGATAACAATAAAAATGCAAGATAATAAAATAATAAATCTTGTGTCTGCATAATAAGAAACCAACCGTTCTATTTTGTCTCTTAGGTCTGTCAGGAATGACGCTTTAAAGGAAAGAGATTTCAACCGAGACCGAGAGAGGAGCGATGGACCAAGTAAGTATAATTATTGGAATACAATAACTAGGATAACACACAACATATTCCACAGACAATAGAACATCATCTTTCCCTAAGTTGACTGGACTGTTCTAAACCAATTGAAAAACATTCGGCACTGCAATCCACGAACTTGTCACGTTATTATTGGTCTCCGATTAACTAAGGGTTTAGGGAGAGTTTGATCCACACAGTGTACTTTGTCGTGTCAAGCTCCCCGCTGCAAATGCAATTATTAATTCAAAATGAAAGCTGAAATTCTTTACCAGTTCTTTCTTATTCATGAATATCATTGGTTCACTAGTTTAATTTTGTCAAATTTAACCTTGTTCATTTGTTCATACACTTTGCTAGCTGTTGTGGTTGCCTAGTGCCGAACCGATTTGCTAATTCTTAGTGGCACTATCTCCTTGATTAATGACTCTGCTATAAGCAGCTCGTGTTCCGGAATTCTGATTTACTAAATTAATAGTTCCATCTCTCTCTTTCTCTCTCTCTCTCCCTCTCTCTCTCTCTCTCTCTCTCTCTCCCTCTCTCTTGTATAATTGTTTTGAACTGTCATGCTCCTCTCTTTCTGTCTTTCGCATCATCGTTTTAAATTGTCATACTCCATCCCTTTTTCTCGCCGTCTCTGTCTCTTTCGTGTAATTGTTCCAAAATTTAATGTCCCCCTCCACCTTCTCTCTCTTTCTTTCTTGCTCTCTCTCTCTCTCTCTCTCTCTTATTATGTTTCAAACTTTCACGCCCATCCCTTTTCTCTCTGTCTTTGTCTCTTTCGTGTAATCGTTTCAAAATTTCATGACCCCTCCCCTCCATCTTTCTCTCTTTTTTTCTCTCTCTCTCTCTCTCTCTCTCTCACACACACACTTTCGTATAATTATTTCAAACTTTCTCCCCCCCCCCCCGCTCTTTCAATCGTATAATTGTTTCAAAATTTCATGCCCCATTTCTCTTTCGTGACAGGATTCATGCGCGATGGTCCTCCTCCACCGAGGAACATACCTTCGATCAGCGAACGAACTCATTTGCAAATCAACCCTAGTCAACGACTTCGACAGCCTGGTCATCGATCACCACCACAAGGAGACGATGATATGTATGCTGTGGCGTCATCCCCGATGTCGATATACCATCGCCCGGACGTCAGAGGGGACATGCTCTATTGAACCATAGCGTAGTGAGAGAGATAGTTGTGACATGCGCAACTTAGCGTACGCGAAATGGGTCATGGGTTAAGTCATGTTGCTCCACATAGCTCCCTCCTACTTTTTTTAAAATAAAGGCATCGTTTAACAATATTAAATCTGAAATGCATGGCCCTACGTGTTATCAGTGTCTGTGATATTGTGTAATATTGAAGCTCTACAAAAATTACGCTTCAAAATGATCAAAATTATCAAGTGCCTCACAATAGTAAACAAATCTTTGAGTGACCAGTTTTACCTTACTCATTTTCCCAATAGACTCTACTGTAATAAAACCGTTAGGAAAACGAATTTTGACATTTCGATTTCCAATCATAGATATCTTGATAATCAGACAAACGATCGGCATGTAAAACTAATGGGATTCTTGAATGACCTATAGTTTATAAATATCATTGCAGCATGAGCTAAATCCAGGATGTTGTTTCAGAATCTTAGACAAAGACACCAATCCTTATGTCTCTATGAGAGGAAACTTTTTTGGAGCTTCGTAAAATGCCTGACCAATCACAAGCAATTTTCGGTAACGTAACTTAACTGTATACTGTAATTGTACCGAACCAACACTATGCCAATGGATCATCCATATACCTTCCCTTTTTTAGGGGAAGAGAAAGTCAAGATGAATGAATTTCTAAAATTCGTTTTATTACTTTTCCACAAATTACTCGAGATTATGTCAAATATATACATTGATTTGAGAGGAACAAAATTCAGATAATATTGAACAGACTGAGAACTAGAAATACAAATAATGGGAAAATGTGGAGGGGTTTACTGAGGAGCTTGTAGCTTGTAAAATGTAGACGCCCTGACTATAACAAATAGTTGTCGTTAACGTCATATAATTTAGCTAAGCAAATTAAAAAAATAAAAGAGAGTTACCCCAAAAATATATATATATATAAATTATATACAGATACATTTATATAAATACAGTTACTGCTCGAAAAATATCAGAATTACGTATTTCAAATGTATTCAAATGTTTACTTCGTAACGAACTATTACATTCACTTGTTATATATTATTGTATTTCACTAGTCAGTATGCATTTGCATACTTAGGGGTTTCTTAGTACGACATATATGATGACTTCCTCTAACTAACAACATGTAGTGTAATTAATTTACATTCTGACTATTGATATACGAATTATTTCATTCATCTGTTCCTAATAGTTGTAAGTAGGCACTTCCGAACAAAAATCTTATTCATTACGAAAATGGACTACTTTAATGTGTCAAATACACTAAATCACGGGCCTACCCCTTGGTAATTAACAAACAAAAAGTAATGATAGCAGTTCATGTTTTGTTTCACCTATACAAAGTTTTCACATTTCTCCACCTGAAGATATAACACACCTTACAAGTTCAAATATATTACAAATAACTTAATAAACGTCTGGTTCCATTATGCACAAAGTTTCCGAAATTCTTCTCTTACATATATAACACATCTATTTATTCAATAAAATTACATATAACGTTATTATCGTCTAGTACATAATCGGTTCATTGTTATAAAAGATAAAAGAAAAAACCGGAAACTCAAACATCGGAAAAAGGTGGTAGCTATCATATATTACACAATAACTACTGTATACATGTATTGTCAACGGATGATAGCAGTAAGCCTACTATTGCACACATCATGGTCTTGATGCATTTCTGGGACACAAATAAAAATTAGTAACAAGGAAATGTCTCAAGATGTCTTAAGATGAATAAACAAGTAGAAACTGAGGATAAAATATTGAGAAATTCTAAGGGAAATTATAGACCAACATACATAGAGTCAACGAATTCGTGAAATGAATGTGGGTTCTTAGACTTAAAGATTTTGATTCAATCTGGCTTATGTTTGTGTACACAATTGTAGTTTTGTCTAATTTAGTTACGACTTGATAAAACCGTATTTACATTATCGCCGATACGACCTCAATGAGTTTTATCTGTATTTTTTAGAATAATTTCTAAAATGCTTTATAATGTATATATATTTTGCGGGTGGAATTATGTATGAATGTGTACTAGTATTCATGTTTATAATTTTTAAAGAAAAATACTAAACATAGTTTTCCCCAAATTCATCGTTAAACATGGCCCTTACAAAAATGGATTAGCATACCTCCAATCAATGTGGAAAAATTTCACCGGTACCAGTAAATGGGGAATCTATTAGGGAGGAAGGGGGAAGGGGGGGGGGGGGGGGGGGTAAGAGCTTTACACAAAAATTGAGGGGGGGGGGGTAAGAGCACATTTTTTTGGTCCCGAAAATTTGTCCGATCGATATTTTGTTCGGTTGAGGGGGGGGGGGGGGTGGTAAGGTCACCTGTTTTGGGTCACCCATTAGCACAATTTTTTTTTATTCAAAACAAAAATGAGGGGAGGGGGGGGGGCGGTTCTTCCAAAACACGCACACAAACAAAATTGAGGGGGGGGGGGTTCGACCCCCCCCCAAACCCCCCTCTGCGTACGCGCCTGCCTACCTTGCATCACAAAATACCGAATTTGTCAATCTTGGAACTGTTTCCTTGTATAAAGATCCTCCTTAAACTGTTACCAGTGAATTTTCTTCCCAACATTATTAGACTTATGTTAGTCTTGTTTTTTCTGGCCACCCTGTATATAGTCTAGTAGGGCTTTTTGTTACAACTAAAAAGATAATGTTTATATTGACGCTGTTTTTTAATACAAAGTTTCTTTAAAATGATGACCACAATCTTTCTCTGTGCTGTGTTGGTCTTAATTTTGACATTTCTATTGATGCAATTTGTCCACTGTTGAAACATTAGCTTCAACGCAAGGGAGGGGGGGGGGGGGTAGAGGGGTATATACATGGATATCAAAGTAGATGTTATCTATATACAAATAAAAAGTACAGCTGATTGTGACCAAGTATGTTTACTACATAAAGATAACTTTTTTTATTTTTAAAGATTTACAATGTAAATTACTTGTTTATATTAAATACATATATATGATACAATTTGTTTACAATATATAAAGATTCAAAGACCATGGTGAGTCTTAATTAGTATAAAAAAGTTCAATTTTAAATAATCCCTCTGAATATTATATGAACTGAGTGAGATATTAGCTTTTAAAAATTTAGAACAATTTATATTGAGAACATACACATAAAGCACTACTTATCTACACACTTTTTGTTGTTGTTGCAAGAACCTATAAAGTGTTTGCATAACATTTTGCACATTTTCAACGTGCAAAATATGACATTGGTGAAATAGATGTTCACTTGTCTATACGTCATCTTGGTCATCTTTCCTGGCAGCCGGGTACGATGCATTCTTCCTACACCTGTTTTGTAATCATATACAAAAAAAAGTGTCGTGAGTAAACTGGTATCCATCGAGAAATGACTATTTCAAAATAAATCAATCGAATATGTAATATCATCTTTGAATTGGCTAGGTTTGTAACTTGAGTTTTTACATTTCCAAAGTTAAGTTTAAACAATATTTATAGAAAATTATGATAAATATGGAGGCTTTTGTGTCTTTACACAAAAGTCTCCATACTCATTCTAATTTCCTATAAATATGGCTACATTTTTCATTTTTCCATGAAAGAAAGCTCATTATTGTCATCATGGTCATGAGATGAATCAATAGTTGGTATGTCATAATTACTTTAAACACTGAGAGAAGATTCAAAAGCCACGAGGTTAAAAAATAGCATTGTCACTTTCAATGACTTGGGTGTTGCAACATGGCACCTGATTTGAAAAGTATTAAACCTTGATTGAATGGTCATATCGTTCAAACTCTTCAATGCCAGGACAATTATGCTTTATCGGTTTGTATCTCTTCGGGAAAACAGTTCGAACATGCAAATATTATCATTACTTTTACAATCCTAGAAGTCCAGAAAAAAAAAAATCGTCAAAAATAAAAAGCAACACTTGCCTTTTATAGTAATATGCGACTCCTAGAAGGCAAATGACAATCACAATTATCAAAATGCAGACAACCGTAATGACGATCATGGAACGGTTTGATACCTCCGGTTCGCTGTCGGCTGGGACGCCATTCTCCTCTTCGATAGGCAGGGTAATGTTCGCGATAGAGATAGCATTTGAAGTAGCGTTGATGAGATAGGATGCTATGGCTGCACGGCCATTCAAAATAGCCTCTAAGAGGAGATCCTGAGAGATGTAAATGGGCTCAGCTGAATTATGAAAAAAAAGAAAGAGAATTGGTAGGGATTTCTTTTTGAATTTGTGACTTATTTTGTAGTTGTCTGGGAAGCAGGGGTAAAAGAGATAGAGGAACACAAATGCAATATGTGCATTAACTCCAGGAAGCTCCAACGCCGGTGCCGAAGGCGTCGGAGCTTCAGTCGGTGCATCGAAAAACATTCAAACAGCGGGTTGGGCGATATTATCTCAAAATATGCAAAGGGAGTAATTACAATTTTGACTTACTAGGTTGCTCAACTCCTCTGGGCATCTATCTGGCAACTTGAAATTATAATTTGAAGAAGTCTTCGATGAGAAAAAGGGGGGGGGGTGATTCTTCGTCCAACCCCGACGATTCTTCCATGTTGTATCGTCGACTCAACCGACGAAGGGAAAGTACGCATGCGCGTATCAATTGATAATCAACCAATGAGCCGACTCAAATGGTTTGTCGATGTAGCAGACAGATTTTGTGTTGCCGTAATTTGATTTATATAGATAATTTTCTATCTAAAGTTAAATACTTCAACCTGCTTCAACCTGCAATCGTAATTTCCCGGTTCGCCAAAATAGCTATAAGTTTTCAGCGTTATCATAAAAGTCAGAAGTTAGTTTATCACAAAATAATTTCCAGATGATAGTGTTAGCTTAGAATAATCACAAATATTCACAAAGACACATATATATATTTTAAAAGGGGGGGGGGGAAACAAAGCAGTGGGCTGCACATGACTATTTCTATTCGCAACTCCTCGCCACAATGGTCAGTCCTGCACACAGTTTAGCACAGCCATGTCCTTGGAAGAACCGAGCCATTAAATTGATGGCTCTGAATAGAGCAATCAAGCTGTTTTCTCTTTTAAATATTTATCATCGTGTTTTAATATTCGTATG